GTTCCTGTCCACGACGCCCTGTAAACTCCCCCCCTCTCCAGACCTCCAGTGAGTTACAGCCCTGAGAAAATCTGTGGAGAAACGGCTCTGCCACAGCTATCTAGCCGACCAACCGGGCCAAGTGAGACTAGAGCATACTAGGCTGGAGGGAAAAGTTGGAAAGAAAAATTCGAACGGTAAACAACAACTGGCCGGCCGCTCCTAAGAGAATGTGTATGCTCTGTCGAGCTTCTTGAGGTCGCAAACCTTAACAACATAAGGCTGGTGGTGACCTCCTCATTGTGTTAGTTGTCTCTTTCGTGGTTATAATGGCTCCCCCGACAGGGGGTCAAGGTATTTTGGAGCTAATACTTGGCCGGGAAGTCACATTTTTTGTGGTGGATTCACCCAAAATTCACCTGCATCGGTCGGGGCGCACAAACCAGAATATGTTGCTGAAGACAACCTTTCCAATGTTGGTTGACTCCATACATTTCCATTGCACCGACCAGCCGATCTGCAATTTGGCCAAAAACGTTTATCTCGTTCACTAAGTCGCTGCCCTGTGTATCAACCTCTGTTCCTGGCGGAAACTTTGATCTCCATCTCCATGGTCCTGAGGAGTCGAACCTCCACGCCCATGACCCACCTCCCACTCGCGTAAGCCCTTTCGCCTGTAACATGTCTCCGTCCCTGTTGACCCCATCGTCTCAAGGTGTCTGTGTCCTCGTTCCGTCGCCGGGAGCCCCCTTCTTGCCACCCCCCCCCGTCGCCGCCTGCTGCCGCTCGGTTCTTGATATCCAAGGCGTCGGAGGTCTATCTGTCCTTGTCAGCCATACCCTGTATTGATGTGAACCGTTGATGCCCCCCCTCCCCCCCGGTGTTTACCATCGGGGTCGGGTTTTCTTCGCTTGGCAACGACGTTGTTAAACAACCGCCCCCCCCGGTGTTTGTCATCGGGGTTGGGTTCTCGTCGTTTGGCAACGACGTTGTAAGACAAGCCCCCCCCCGGGTGTTTGGCCATCCCTGATTGTGTAGTGCCCCCCTACGTACTGCAGCTACAATTGTCCAGCGCGGCCCAACATGAACACCTGAAAACCATCACCGGCGAACAACCCTTTTTCACAGAAACAAAGAATGGAAAATTCTCTGTGTGTCTGCCCAACTTGGACTGTCTCGAACTCTCCGCTTGAACAACCGTCCTACTCGCCTCTCTGAGCAGCAGCACGTTCGTGCACACGTGCATACCCTCTTTGTCATCCTCGGACTAGGTTAGAGGCAGGTGGGGGGAGAGAGCGCAGGGTACCGTTACGGCCGATCATTTTTTGTTTCTGTCCACGACGCCCTGTAAACTCCCCCCCCCTCCAGACCTCCAGTGAGTTACAGCCCTGAGAAAATCTGTGGAGAAACGGCTCTGCCACAGCTATCTAGCCGACCAACCGGGCCAAGTGAGACTAGAGCATACTAGGCTGGAGGGAAAAGTTGGAAAGAAAAATTCGAACGATAAACAACAACTGGCCGACCGCTCCAAATAGAATGTATATGCTCTGTCGAGTTTCTTGAGGTCGCAAACCTTAACAACATAAGGCTGGTGGTGACCTCCTCATTGTGTTAGTTGTCTCTTTCGTGGTTATAATGGCTCCCCCGACAGGGGG